TCTAATTTAAATAAATCACAGTGTCTCAACATGTCTGCATAAACGTTTGCATTTATAAACATATTTTTAACACAATTATAAGGATATAAAAGTTAGATACAATAGTGATTTAATCCGACATAATTTATAATTAAGTTAATATAAATATTTTGAAACACCTTTTTTTAATTTATTAAGTTGATAAATCAACTTTCTAGTGCGATCTTAAGATTAAATTAATGCAAGTGTATCAATCTTTCCTTTTGTTCTAAATAGATCTCCAACTCCATGCCAATCACAAAACAAAAGTAATATGTTTGGTGATCAACTCGATCCATAAGTTCATCGTAGAGTACACAATTCTTTGAAGGTACTACCAGCATGCATCGGTTTCATGCCATCTTTTGCCAACAGAAAGAGGTGGAGGGGGAGGAGGTGGAGGAGGAGGAGGAAGAAGTTGAGAGGAGAGAAAGGTGCCGCCGGGTTCTTCTCTGCGGCTTGACCCGGTCTTCCGGCCACCACAAATAGCATGGAGGTCAAAAACCGGCCCAAGATTTGCAGCTGGCCATGCAACAAATGCAGAAGCCCTGATTTCTCGGTCCCATTACAATTACATCCGTATATCTTCCTCCTCTTCCTCCTCCTCCCTTTCCTCCACCTTCCCGAGCCCCCCCCTTCCGGGACCGGAAAGGCCGTGAGGGAGGAGACACTTCGACTCGCCAACCAATCCTTCACCTCCTCCATGGCGTAGTGGGAGATCGAACAAGAAGCGGCTGAGATGACCATGATCCCAATGAGCATGGATCGTCGGTTCGTCTTCCTCCTCCTCTTCATGGCCTTGGCGGCGTTGGCCTCCGCCCAACAACAGACGTCCGCCGTCTCCTTCACCCCCTCAGACAACTTCCTGATCGACTGCGGCGGAGCCTCCCCTATCACTATGCCCGACGGCCGCCTGTTCAAGACCGACGCCCAGTCGTCTCCTTTCTTGTCCGCCACCGACGATGTCCACGTCTCGGTCACCGCCGTGCCCGGCGTCCCTTCCCCGCTCTACCTGTCCGCCAGGATCTTCCACGACGACACCGCCTACAGCTTCACCCTCGCCCACCCCGGCTGGCACTGGATTCGCCTTCATTTCTTCCCCGTCAACAACACCGACTTCGACCTCACCGGCGCCGTCTTCTCTGTCTCCACCGATGACCTCGTCCTCCTCCACAGCTTCACCGTCAACGACCCCTCCAAGTGGGTGCTGAAGGAGTACCTCGTCAACGCCACCTCCCCGCACCTCACCATCCACTTCTCCCCTCTCCGCAAATCCGTCGCCTTCATCAACGGCATCGAGGTCGTCTCCGCCCCCGACGCGCTGATCCCTGACACGGCCTCCACTGTCTCGCCCGTCGGGGAGGCAGCCGGGCTCTCGCTGTACGCCTACCAGGTGGCTTACCGGGTCAATGTCGGCGGACCGGCCATCACCTCCGCCAACGACACGCTCGGGCGCGCTTGGGAGCAAGACGCGTCCTTCCTGAAGTCGCCGCCCACCGCCAAGAACGTGTCCGTGTCCCCTGGCATCATCAAGTATCCGGAGGGAACCTCACCCCTGATCGCGCCGAACTCGGTGTACGCCACCGCCGTCAAGATGGCAGACGCCGGCGTGGAGGACGCCAACTTCAACGTCACCTGGTCCTTCGACGTCGACTCCACGTTCGGCTACTTGGTTCGATTACACTTCTGCGACATCATCAGCAAGGCGCTCAACAGCCTCTACTTCAACGTGTACATCAACGGGATGATGGCCATATCAGGGCTCGACCTATCCACCGTCACCTCCGGCCTCGCCATGCCTTACTACAAAGACTTCGTGCTCAACGCCTCGGTGGCCACGGACCGAATCACCGTCCAGATCGGTCCCATGAAGGAGGACACCGGTACCATCGACGCGTTGCTCAACGGCGTGGAGATTCTTAAGATGAGCAGCTCGGTGGGGAGCTTGGACGGCGAGTTTGGAATCGATGGTTCGAGGGCCGACGGCGGTGGCAGCTCGAAGCGAGTTGTAGCCGCCGTCGGGTTCGCCATGATGTTTGGCGCCTTCGCCGGCCTCGGTGCGATGGTGGTGAAGTGGTCCAAGAGACCCCACGACTGGGAGAGAAGGAACAGCTTCTCTTCGTGGCTCCTCCCGGTGCACACAGGTAACTCCACCTTCATGACAAGCAAGGGGGGATCGGCCTACGGTTCGAACAGGAGCGGCCACACCTTCTCCTCGACAATGGGGTTCGGCCGGTACCTCTCCCTGTCCGAGCTGCAGGCAGCGACGAAGAACTTCGACGAGAAAGCTGTGATCGGCGTGGGAGGCTTCGGGAACGTGTACCTTGGCGAGCTGGAGGACGGGACGAAGGTGGCGGTCAAGCGAGGAAACCCGCAGTCGGAGCAGGGCATCAACGAGTTCCAGACGGAGATCCAGATGCTGTCCAAGCTCCGCCACCGCCACCTGGTGTCGCTGATCGGCTACTGCGACGAGAACTCGGAGATGATCCTGGTGTACGAGTACATGGCGAACGGGCCTTTCCGGGATCACATCTACGGCAACGACCTCCCTCCTCTGTCGTGGAAGCAGAGGCTAGAGATCTGCATCGGGGCCGCGCGCGGGCTGCACTACCTCCACACCGGCACCGCGCAGGGGATCATCCACCGCGACGTCAAGACCACCAACATCCTCCTCGACGAGAACTTCGTGGCCAAGGTGTCGGACTTCGGCCTCTCCAAGGACGCGCCAGGGATGAACCAGACGCACGTCAGCACCGCCGTGAAGGGCAGCTTCGGCTACCTCGACCCCGAGTACTTCAGGTGCCAGCAGCTGACGGATAAGTCGGACGTGTACTCCTTCGGGGTGGTGCTGCTCGAGACCCTCTGCGCGCGGCCGGCCCTCAACCCGGCGCTGCCGCGGGAGCAAGTTAACCTGGCGGAATGGGCGCTGCAGTGGAAGCGGAAAGGCCTGATCGAGAAGATCATCGACCCTAACATCGCCGGCACCATCAACAAGGACTCCCTTAGCAAGTTCGTGGAGGCCGCGGAGAAGTGCTTGGCGGAGTACGGGGTGGACAGGCTGTCCATGGGCGACGTGCTGTGGAACCTCGAGTACGCTCTCCAGCTGCAGGAGGCCAATCCTCCCGACCCTCCGCCGAAGGCAACCGAGTCGGAGGGGAAGAGCGGCAGCAGTGCGGCCGCAGAAACTTCGCAGAAGGAGCACGACGGGGCTCATCCGGTGGAGGAGGCAACCACTCCGGTCGTCAACCGATCTCTGGACAACTCGAGCACGGATATGGCTGACGAGCTGCTTGCGCAGTTCGCGGGGATGAAAGGAAGGTGAGCGACGGTAAACGGCTATATGTGCCCCTGTGGGCTGATATGATTGCTTGGATTTGATCATTGTTCCGATATATATACCGATGAAGATTTTGATTGGGTTACTAATACTCATAAAAACAAACGAATTAAACAAATATTATTTGAAGTGCATTAAAAATTAAAAAAAGATAATAATAGATTATCATAAAATTTAAAAATTGAATCATATCTTTACTATGGACTAATTATAAATTATCTTCTATAATTAGATATCTTTAATATTTACTTCAATAAAATTAATTTTTTAATCTTATATAAAGATAAACATTTTACTTTCATAAATAAAAAATTTTTGATATAATTTTTACAAATATAAAAAGTGAGGAAATTATGCTCAAACTCCCTTGTGATCTAGTCGAAAGACGAGATCGAGGATGGATGTAACCGGCTGAACCATGCTCGTGCCAGTCCCCTGAAGGTGGTCGGGAATACCCGAGACATCAAGGCATCAGAGGTGTCATAGAGGGCCATTTGAGTCCGGAACGCGATGACATGCTCTGTGGGATCGGAGCCATCGTCGTTGTCTCCAATGCCGACAGTATGAAGTCAAGAGGCACAGGCTTGTCCTTATTTCATGAGTAAAGGGGGATCTGCTCGAATCAATATACTAAAAATAACTAATTATAATAGATAATATATAATTAATCCTTTACTATTTATCTTTAATAAAATTAAAAATTAAAATAATCCAACCTCGAAAGTTTAAGAGATTATATATGATTTGAGACTTCCACAGTATTATTTTACCAAGCTAACAATAATTATAATCTCTTTTGCACCCTCTGAAGAGTCCCAATCTGATCTTTATTTAACCTGACTGTAGCTAACACCTTTTACACCACTGGTTTGGCTGATACTGCTGATATGGTACAAGAGAAATGGACTTCTGAGCAGTATCTCCAAGGAACCCTGCCACCGGACTTGGGGCTCTTCTCCTGAGAACCACAGAAGAGAGACTTCAAGCAAACAGCCATAACACTACTAAATGATCTTTAGCACATCCTCTGGCATGTATGGTTTGACGGTACATCTATCCCTATGATAGAAAAAAGATTCCATGAACAAAGACCACAAGATATGGGCATCTGTTCTGGATCTAGGAAAGTGATGCTGAATCACTATCGTTGTCGCCTGTGTCGGCCTCCTTCACTTCCTGAATCATTTTCAGTACCTGCCATGTGGTTGGCCGACTATCTGGGGAAAGCTGAACACAGGCTGCGGCGATGTCGATGATCATCATCAGGCGTTCATCATCAGCTCCATCTTCTCTTGTTGATCGAACCCAGGCAGGCAGATCGGTTGCCATTAGGAGTGGTTGTTGCAAAGGAGGTTTCCCGGTGAGGAGCTCCAGCAGTAACACACCAAATGCATAGATGTCTGATCTCGTGGTTAGCTGGTCATTAGATTTTCTGGTTTCGGGAGCTCGGTATCCTGAGCTGTCTTGGCTCTCCGATGGTTCCACAAGGAAGGAGAGACAGTTGTCGGCCAGGCAAGCCTCAAACTCGGAACCGAGAAGGACGTTGGACGATTTAATGTTG